TACACACTTTCCTTGTCCTGTCTTTCCTGTATTCATCAACCCTAATTGTACCTTGGTATCTGTTACACTTTTAACCCCTGTCTTAACCCATTTTAATTACCTTATTACCTCTTTGTGATAAGAAAGTCTTACCTCAGTGACCTTTTTAATTTCCTCAGTACCTTTCTGTTTTTTCAACCCTTCACTAAGCATTTGCTAATTAGAAGTTTTTTTCAGCCTACTATTTTCTTTCCATTTGCAAAATCCTCTTGATTTTCACTTTCTCACACTTTTTTTCAGATTCTGTTGCAAGGCTGAAATAGTGTTCTGAACCACCACATGGATGAGGGAGAGACATTTTAATGTGTTTTAATTTAACATCATTCCTCTTCTTATTTGTCCACTGTCCAGTTTTCATTAACAATGCAAATTTGCCTATTTTACTAAATTCTCTATCTCCATTTAATGAATTTTGAACCATGCTGTTTACTCATGTACCAATCTCATGTAGAATTCAAGCAATTATTAGTGCAACTATCTGTTAAAAGCTGCAGGAAGCCAAAGGTATGGGATAATAGACAAATTTAAGAACATCCCCTGCTTTTTGTGAATTTCACAATGGGACCACATTCATTTTCCCATGCATTACTCTCTTCCTCAGGCCAGCCCCTGTGCCTGTTGTCCTTTGTCTCCCACGTCACATATGAGGCAGTTTGCATGTTGATTTGTTCATTTCCCAGCACTGCCTGGTGACTGAAAGGCTATTACACATCACTCTGTGATTTGTGTTATTTCTAATGTTCCTTTTTTTAGCTTAATGTTTGATAGCCCTTTCCCGTCTGTTATTGCAGACTCTTGGACCCTGGACCTGTGGACCAAATTTTCTCTCCTTGTGTACACTTTGGGTCTCTAACATTTGTCCTTCATCTATTCCATCTTCTTAATGACTACTTTGATGTCAGTTCTGAGGAGATGTGATCACATTTCCTCACAATATATGACCTGTCCTAGGATTGCAAATTATCCAGGGAGGAACATATTCCCTGAAGCAGCTGGCAGCTGTTCAGGTCTGGAATACCATCCCCTTTTTATTTAATTTTTCCATTTTGGTCAGACAAATAAAATAAAGATTGGAACTTCTCAATCCTTAGGAAAGTTTGAAATATCTGACCTGCTGGGGTAATGCATTCAGTGACATTACTGGCTTGGGCAAGCGCTCATCATAGAACAGTTTCCTGATCCAGATCAGTGATGAACACTTGTTGTACATCTTTTAGGACACAAAATGCCTGCTTTGCTTTCATTTCATTCTTGGTTGCCTTGAGCTGGTATATAAATGTGAGAATATTTATGCAAGTTGGAATGACCCTGTGGTTGGAAAGTTGTTGACAATTTTTTGGAAATATCCCTTTACTGAAGAAGTAGTGAAACAGCAGGATTAATAATAATTTATTCCATGCAAAGAATCTTCTGTACCTTTTGATGCATGCTGGTTTTTGCTCTGTTCATCACCCTAACCCACTCTGCTGGCAGGTCCCTGATGAGCACCCTGAGGTTAACACTGCTCCAAGATGTGGTAGGGCTCCCCTCAGCATTCTCCTTGCTCATGCATTTCAGAAATGTTTTTCTAATCTGGCTGCAGACTCCAGGAGGAAGCACAGGTCTGGGTACCATTTCAGCCATTTATTTGCAGCTAGAATTAAAATGAGAAAAAACACATGCAGGGAAAGGAAAATCCTAAAGGATTTTGAAGTGCAGCTCTAAGGACACAGTCCACGTGTGTTTGATTTGGCAGCAAAGCCCTTCAAAGAGGAGCTCACCTTCTCCCAACCCATCCCTCCCTCTGCCATGGTTTTCTACCTGTCAGTTCTGCTGATGCAGCTCACTGTGGGAATCCTTTTTGTAGGGAAGAAACGTGTCTTCAGTGTGTGAGTCGAGTTACAGTCCCTAAAGTGATTGCATTCCAACCGCAGCGGGTGTGAAATACAGCACAGGGCTGGTGTCAGAGGCTGAGAGGAGCCAGGAGCTGCCAAATCTGCAGCTCAGCCCCGAATGCATGACTTCCCAAGGGCTGTTTGCCATCTTAGGGTGGAAGGAATGTTCCAGTGCAAAGGTTGCTGACAATGCTGTGCTTCTCTCTGGGGACAGGCACCGTGATGACACCAAACTACATCGACTCCAGCAGCCTCAGCGTGGCCCCGTGGTGCGACTGCAGCAACAGTGGCAACGATGAGGAGGACTGCAAGAAATTTCTGAATTTCTTCCAGGACAACATATGCCTTAGTGAGTACAAAATTAGGGTCTTTAATGTGTTCTAGATGTCTTTTAATGTGTTGTAGAGTGTTTTCCAGAATTCCTTAACTGCTTACGACACATCGAGACCATCGTTTTGTATTGTTGAGCGGGGCTCTGTTGTAGGTGTAAAAATCAAAAGAATGAGCAAATATGCCTGATACTGTGGTTTATGGCCAAGATTACAAACATGAGAAGCTCTTGGAAAAATAAAACCCAAAGTTGTATGGTATTGAAATATGTTTACATCACAGGTCATATCTGGAGCCTAACAGTCAGGCAGCATCTTCACCATGGAACTGCAGCACCTGAGGGGTTTCTGTATAATTTAAGAACTTCAAATAAAAAAGACATGTAGTTTAGGATATGAAGGATTAGCCGTAAGTATAAATTGGATTGTGCTTGAAATTTACAGCCAACTTCATTTTTTTAGGATATTGGATCTCAAATGCCTGGTTTTAACACAAGCCTGGATAGTAACTATTGTAAAGATTTTGTTAAATTATTGATTTTTTTTTTTTTTCTGTCGGACTCGCTTCCAAATTAGGGACTATTATAAATTTCAGAATGGCTCAGTGGAGTCGATTTTGGCAGGTTCTCTTTTCAAATTTCCTGTCTGCCTGGAGCAGCATAATTGGATGATGTGGAGTGTGCATCAGAGTTTTAATTTCAGATAAATGAGGAGACCAAAAGAGCTTGGCTTCCCTAGTCTAGCAGAACAGGAGTTGAAAGGATTTGTGATTCTCCTCTGAAATTGAATTAACTGGGTAAGCCCAGGGAGGGAGAGGGATTACTTCACCTGCAGGACAATGTTGGCATAAGATCAAAAAGGAAGATACTGGCCATACATATTTAGGCTTAAAATGGGAAAAATTTTAACCATCAGACTAAAATTAAGAAATAGGCTTCCAAAAGGAATTTTGAGGGTGAAAGTGGTTTTAAAAGTCACATTTCATCAGTTTATGTAAATAAGCAGACATCGTTTCTTTTCTCCAAAACAGTAAATGAGCTCAGTGATCCAGACTGGCCCATGCAGCCCTAGAGACTTGAGCTGATGCTAGGGCAGGGCTCAGTATTTTATTGAGGGTCTGAAAATCCCCATTGAGCTTCTCAAGAGGCAGCATTGCAGTGAAGGCACAGGGAGGTCTGTGCACAAAAACCTGAGTTGCTCTGTGATACACTATTTATTAAGCTTTGGAAGAACAAATCAATTACTCAAGATCATTTAACAAAAGAAGAAGAGAAAAGAGTTCAAACTTTACAAGGGGTAAAATTTAACAATATGCCATCAGACCTTCTTCAAGCCTAATGGCAGTTGCCATTTATATCTATTGCAGTACCTCAGATTTTATTCATTTTTGAATGTATTAATTTCTAGAGTGTTGCAGGTTCCTTTTAGAACATAAAGATAGAGTGATTCCTTGTCCTGTCTTTTGCCATCAGTACAAAAGCATTAATGAAGATGGATCAAAGACATTGGAGGTTACTGGGAGACAAATTATATCATCCTAGCTGCAAGATAATGTCTTCTTCAAGAAGAAATTAAAAGTATTTTTCGATTTTCTACAAAGTTTTGTCTTTCACATAAAATAGGAATTTCAAAAAATTTTTGTTTTCATTAGTGAACCTTTCATTACCTGGAGAAAATGTCATTAAAATCCTTCCCACTTCTTTTATACAACACAAGAAATTCTTTTTCCGCGGTAGGAAGAATCTAGGAATTTCTTACTAGTCTGTTTTCCCTTCAAAATGGAAAATAAACCTGTTATTTGGGGCATTTATAACAATGATCTAGTTGAAGTTGCTCATTGCAGGGGTGTTGGACTGGAAGACCTTGAAAGGTTCCATCAACCCAGACAGTTCTGTGATTCTGTCATAGACTCAGAATATCTCAAATTGGAAGGGACTCTTAAGGATCATCAAAAATGATTGTATGAAATAATTGAAGACTAATTGTAAAGGCTGCTTGTTACTTTGAAAACTGGAAGGATTGCAGGTATTTCTATGACCATTCTTGCAAAAGTGGAAACAAAGAGTTACTGTGGTTTTAGGAAATACTGCTTTTTATATTGCCTTGTTCGGGGAAACACAAGAAACCTTACCATATCTTTTTTTCCACTGTGTCTCTATTAATGCAGCTTATTCTGGTGCTTTTTACAAGTTCCTCTCTTCGCATCTTGAACTTCTGAGAATGAATATCAGAATAAAATACATCTTTTTTGTAACGACGTGTATTGTATTCCACGGACAGATTCAGGCGAGATCTCTGTGGTTGCTCTTGGGGGAAGAGGTTTATTCAGGATACATTGAGGCTCTGCCTCGAGCTGCCAGACACAGCACGTGGCTGGGCCTCGGGTGATGGGGGAGGGGAGAGACAGAGAGGAGAGCAGGGACTCCCGGAGGACTCTCCAGGAGGGGAAGGAAGATCCAAGAGGGCGTCCAGCCCCCTGGAGACCCCTTATCAAGGGGGGCTCCAGGGTGGGCTGGAACAGGACCTGGGCCAATGGGGTCACAGGCACCTGATGGTTCAGGGGAGGGTTACAGATGTGGGGTGAACCATACATTCTGGGGGGTGACATGGGAGAATCCATTCGGCTTTTGGACCCCGTTGTAGGTGAGGGTAATTGTCCAGCCAGTAGGGGGCGTTATATTCGTCCTGGCTGTACCATTGTGGTTCTTAATCATATTTACCTACCCTCCCCAACATCTCCCCCTTTTTCACTGAACCATTTGAAATATTAGATATTGATTTAACAACTATTTTCTGCACACTTGGAGGTGTACAGGGTATTGTTACTAGAACTATACTTATTGCTACTGAAACAGTTAAGCTTATTTTACAGAGTTCCTTTAGCCAAGGTGCAAGTCTCGAACCATTAAGTCAACTGTGTAGCTGAGATGGCTTTATTGTTATTAAATCACTGATTATAGTAGGGGAGGCATTGTCAGAATTTTTTGGAAAAGGTCTTATAATTAAACGGGTTGAAAAAGGTTTGTTAGGGTTTGTGTTAGATATATAGGTGGTCTTAGAGCTTGCAGGCTTGGCTAAAGCTACTCGGCATTTGTCTTTGGTTGAATTATAAGTAAAACTTCAATATAAAAACTGAAACAGAAGAACAAAAACAATATGCACGCATTAAACGATAGAAAGTCCATTTTTCTCTCGATGACGCAGCGTGGTTCAGGTCTGGGTGCTGGCTTCTTGGCTTGTGCTTGTAGAGGAACTGTCTGGTGTGGGGGTGTCAGCAGATTTCGATGCGTGGTAAGGCTTTACATTCTTTCCTGGGACCAACTTGAGTTGTCCACCTGTGGAAACACAAGAAAAACCTTTCCCCCACGTTAGAAGACTGTGTGGACTTTGTATATGTCCTGAATTTAAGATTTTGGGTAAAGCTGGGGGGTACCCTTTTATTTTTACTTTTTTTGTGTTCAGGAAATGTCTATAAATTTGGAGACGAGGCTCTCCTGCAGAGCTACTTAGAAAATTGTGAGCATATAGAGCCTTATTCAACCTCTTTTGAGGTGTAGCCTGATCTACTCGCCCTTCCTTTAGAAGTAAGATTCGTTTTAGGGTTTGGCGTGTATTTTCTATGGTAGTTTTTAACTGTGGTGTAATATAGGAAAAGGAGATAGCACTGTCATTGAGTACTGGTAGGACTTCTTTCACCTCCTGAGAGGGGACAGCTGTTCGCTGGCTGTGTAGCACTTGCAAGGCTTGGGGGTGCAGACTGTTGTCTTTGCAGCTATTATATTTGATTTCAGGGCAGTTTTTCAGTTGAAGATTGCTGGCACTTTGTTGAGAATTTGGTGAGACTGGGATAGAAAGGTTAGAGTTTGCAGGGGTAACATAGTTCTCTGTTTGTCCTTTGTTTGTAGAAGCTGCAGTTACATTGTTGCGTTCACGTTGCTGAGGCATAGTGTCTTCGTTAGGGTGTGGTGAAAAGCTGCTACTGAGGGAGGCAGGGGCTGCTGCCAGCTGAGGCAGAGGAGCAGGGGGGGTGGAGGTCGTGGGCAGCAGCACTTGTGGGGGGCTGGCATTTTCGGAAGGATTTTTTGTATCTGTGGCTTTGGGTGCTGTGGCAGTCTGAAGATCCGGCGGAGGGAGAGATGTGGAGGGATATGATGATGGTTTCGGCAAACCAGGAAGTGGTGCCGGCGTTGGGGGGTTCCGGGGTTCTGTAGCCAGAGGCAGGGGCTGCGGCGCCGCGGGGGGATGGGGGGGTGGGGGCGCCGGGTTTGCGTCTGCCGGGGGGTCCGGCCGCGAGTGCAGGAGGCGGGCGGGCAGCGGGGGTGCTGCGCCGGGAGCCGGGGCGTCCCTGGGAAGGACGGGCGGTGCCGCGGCTGCAGGGGCGGGGTCTGGGCCGAGGGGGAGGGGGGCGGCGGCCCCGGGGGCGGGGTCTGGACCGAGGGGGAGGGGGGCGGCGGCCCCGGGAGTGGGGGCGGGGTCCGGACTGCGGGGGAGGGGGGCGGCGGCCCCGGGAGTGGGAGCCGCCCAGCCCAGGGCCGGCGCGTGGCCGGCGTGTTCGCCGGACCAGGGGACTTCCGGGTGGGTTGGGGGGGCGGCCGCGGAGGCCAGCGTCTGCAGCTTTTGCAAAATCGCAGCTGACGCTTGAAATTGTGCTTGTAAAATAGCCATTGACTGGGTTTGTGCTTGTAAAATAGCTGTTGTTTGATTTTGTAAAAGTTCGGCTATAGTAGCCATCATAGCCGGGACAGGCAATGCTGGGGGGCCGGGCGGGGGGGAGGCGGGGCCCGCGGAGTGGTTTGGGGGGGAGGAGGTGGCCGCAAGGGCGGGTTCTGGGTTGCGGGTGAGGGGGGGGCGGCTGCGGCAGGGAGCGCCGGTCGCTCAGAAACCGGCGAGTCGCCAGCAGCTTCGCCGGCATTCTCGCCGCAGCGCGGGGTGGGGGGGCAGTCCGGCGAAGATAGTTGAGCCACGGCAGGGAGCGATTTGGCTGCTATCTGCGGCTTTTGAGAAGTGCAGAGTTCTGCTAACACTTTATAAGCAGGAAATAAGTCGCAAGCATAGGGGTCCCGCAGTGAAATGTCGTTAAATAGTGTATGTCCCACGGACTCCCAAAAGTCTCCACAAAACACAGCAGAGCGCTCGGCATATGGGAACTTAAGTAAGATCCATTCTAGGAGTTTTCGTAGCTCTTTTTTAGGCAAATTACTATTATGGCTACGTAATAAGTGGTTAAGTTGCTTATAGAGATCTCTATCAGCTGCAGAGTGGGACTGTCCCATTTTTAAACCAGTGTGGCTCACCTCGGTGTCGCAGGAGCGGGATCCTCTGTCAGGTTCCGACGTTTACTGCAGTCGGTGCTGAGGTCACCGCGGGGTTTTTCCAGAGCTTCAGCGCGGGCAGTGCTAAGCAGTGCTCGCCTGTGCTTTGTGTACGTGGCCACGTGGCGCGGCAAGTGTCGTCACAAAGCCTTGGGTCGCCGCGGAATCGCGGCGATCTCTTGTGCTCGGAGAATAATGGCCAGAAGTCGTATAAGGGCTCTAATAGCTCGCTACTATGTAACGAGTCGCTGAGCTGTACGACGGCTTCGGGACTTTTTAAAGAGCTCCGGTTCGTTACTGCCTAGCAGCAGAATGCCGTGCTCGCGACCACGATGGCGAGGAAATACCTGGTTATATAGTTAGTGTCCATGGAAAGGTGTCCTACAGGTAGAAAAGCTGGAAAGCATCCAGACGGGTGCAGTTGCAGGTCACCGTGGGTTCGTATTCGACGATGGGCGCCAGTCTGTAACGACGTGTATTGTATTCCACGGACAGATTCAGGCGAGATCTCTGTGGTTGCTCTTGGGGGAAGAGGTTTATTCAGGATACATTGAGGCTCTGCCTCGAGCTGCCAGACACAGCACGTGGCTGGGCCTCGGGTGATGGGGGAGGGGAGAGACAGAGAGGAGAGCAGGGACTCCCGGAGGACTCTCCAGGAGGGGAAGGAAGATCCAAGAGGGCGTCCAGCCCCCTGGAGACCCCTTATCAAGGGGGGCTCCAGGGTGGGCTGGAACAGGACCTGGGCCAATGGGGTCACAGGCACCTGATGGTTCAGGGGAGGGTTACAGATGTGGGGTGAACCATACATTCTGGGGGGTGACATGGGAGAATCCATTCGGCTTTTGGACCCCGTTGTAGGTGAGGGTAATTGTCCAGCCAGTAGGGGGCGTTATATTCGTCCTGGCTGTACCATTGTGGTTCTTAATCATATTTACCTACCCTCCCCAACACTTTTTCAGAAGAAAATTACATGTAAATTATTTTATAAGGCAAGGAATGGCACTGAGAAGAAGTGTTAATAACTTCCACATATTAGTCCCCAGTGAAATTGTTTGATTTCTTGTACAAAGAATTTGAAATAAGAAATCCCCAAATCCTTGTTGAATCCCCAAAGACCTGATTAAGAACTGTTTTTCTGTTTGTTTATAAAAAACCTCCAACCAATTTACTCTTGCTATAAACACACTCTTTAATCCTGTGAAACTGTGATAAGCTTTTTAACTTTTATATTCTGAAGTTTTAGTTTAACCATGTTTCCCTTACCCAATTATGCAGATTTTGATTGAAAATGGTAAGGAAAAGATTGTCGTAGTTAAACTATTTTGTAGCTATTGGCATATTAGTTTTACTACAACAAGATGTAGAAATAAATATTTATCCTGTTCTCTGTTTTTACTTTGCTCTGTAACTTCAGCTGCCTGAATTAGGACATGACATTCAAACTTTTTTTAAAATCTTGAAAGTAAATTTTTGAGTCTTTTGGATGGTAATAAATATGATTATGGTAAGTCCTAAAGCTTCTGTCAAGAATTACTGGAAACATTACAAATAATTATGTGACCCCAGATTTTCAGTTCGTTTCTGATAGGTTCAAAATTAAGACACATTTTTCAGCATAAAATTGAGTTTCTACAAATACACATTTAAAATGTAATAATAACAATAATAATAACAGCAATAAAAAACAACTCAGTTCTGCTTTTTGCCTTTTTTTTTTTTTTTTTAGAAATAGAAAATTGCCTGTAATTTATTTTCACAGAAAATGCAATTCAGGCCTTTGGCAATGGCACTGATGTGAATGTCTGGCAGCCAATCTTACCAGTACAGACCACTACAGCCACAACTACAACAGCTTCCAGACTTAAAAACACAGGGTCAGAAACCACCAACAACGAAATACCCTCCCACAATGATTCACCAGCATGTGCAAACCTGCAGGTAAGAGGGTTTTGTACTTCTTGTTGTGCATAAATGAAAGTTTTTCATAGATACCTGTCAAAGAGTCTCGCACTGCCTAACTAGATGCCTGCCTAAACTGGAATAGCTGTTTATTCCCATGCTGTAGTTACAAGCTGTATATGTTGTGAGCTGTCAGACACTCTTATTTTAAATCAGGAACTTGCATATCTCAAAGTGGACTTTATTGCCTTGCTGACTCAGAAACAGGGGATGGTATTTAATTTCTTATCATAGGTTTGAATATGAATGGGGCACTCTCCAAATCCTGCCAGGATATGTCAGATTAAATTAATCCCTTGAGTTCTCCTAATTCAGAGGGAGCCCTTAATGTGAGCTAGCATGTCCTGCTGCCTTCTTTCTTATGTTATTGGCATTAAACTCAAGAAGGGTTTTTGGCTAAGTAGTTCTGGATATTATAGAACATATGGTACTGCAAGCTACACATTGAAGAAGGTGGGCAGAGATAAAACTATTTTGAATCAGGCACTCTCCTGAACTGAGGTCGAGGTCATGATGTGATTTTGGCCAATGGCTGTAGTGATTTTCTTTGACACTTAAATTAGGCCATTGATAGTGGATCACTGATCATTCTGGATTTAGAGGCTCGCCACTTGCTGAAGATAGTTTTTGCAGCTCTTTGAAAGATGAAGGACTTGGGCAGGAGAAGACAGCAAAATCAAGGCAGGAAGAAGGTAATAGGAAATGTAAAATGAAAACATCCTTAGGCCAGATTGGAATCAGAGTATAAAAATTTCTGGTGGTTTAAATACAAAATTGGGTCAAGCAGGGATAGATCAGCTTGTTCTGTTTATTTTTGTCTTTACAGAAAGAAAATTGCTATGTGACACAAATATAAGTGTCCAAGCTTTAAGGTCTCAGCTGGTATTAAGATAATTTTTTCTGTATTTCTGGATTTCACTGTTAAAGCATTGATTTTTCATTTCCTATTAAAAAAAAATCACTTTTTTTTCCTTTATATTAAATAGTTCCATGTCCACTGAACCAGAACTATTTTATTTCTGAGAAGTATGTTTTGCTTCTGAATTTTTCCTGTGCTGCTTCCTCTCCTTCATCCTTTTCCAGTTCCTGCATCTATTTTGCATTGAAAAATTATGTCTGCATCAACATGAGGGACATTACAGAGTCACAAAGTATAGGGGGTTAAGGATAGATGGTGCTGAGTTTTGGTCCTTCTGTTTTAATTCTGTTTTTCCTCATCTGTGCATTCATTACTATTTAATATTTTTAAGTTATTGATAAGAGAGACAGTTGAAGGCATATATTGCTATTTGCAATAGTCATTTAACCAAATAGAATATGCTGAAAGAAACACAGCCTTTTAAACCTGAAACTTGGAATATCTCACATTTGGAACAAGACCTTGACGGGATAATACTGAGTCACTTCATGTTATATTAAAAAGTTGTGTTATGGGAGAGATCACTTTTTCCTTCAGTGTTTGTACAGCCCCCTGCAGAGTAAGGCCTCCAGATGCTACCAAAGTACACATAATAAATAAAGAACTGAAGAAATGGCAAGTGATCACAAATCCCATTGGATTCACTTGAAATTGCAAATGTTCCTTAAGCCTGAATAGCTGTTCCTGTGTTTTGAAAATGACTTAAATTCTTCCTTGTCCTTCCTCCTGTTACTGTGGCATTTTGAAGTCACATCCCACATGAGTTTGGTTTAAAGCTGTGCTATGACTTCAAGTGTAAAGTGTACCCCCTGATGTACTTGGTACAAGAAATGAAGATTAGTAGGGAAAATAGGTTCCTTTAAATAAATGATCTCTGGTGTTTTGGCAGAAACTGTAGATAAAGTCTGCATTAAAATGTCACTGAAGTTATGTGGACCAAGCAGTTTTTGAATATTGAAGAATATTGAAGCACAATATTCTATGCCTACCACGTCCTTCTGACAGAACTGAAGCAGAAAGAACAAAGCTCTAATATTTTAATGCATTTTTCAAAAAGTAACTTGCGAACAGAGCCAAAACAAGCCCACAATTTTTTTAAAAAGAAACCTATGTTTTTTGGACAGTATGGTGCCACTTTGCATGTGAGACTTAAACCCTAATGCAAATTTATAAAAGAACTGGTATTCATATTGCACTTGGAGAAGGGTATTCATTCTAAGCCTCTCCCCCAGTGAAAATATGCCTTTGTAATATTTTCAAAACATGAACCAGTGCAGCCAAAAGCTTTTTTATATGCTTAGCATCTGAACTGAAAGGTTTCTAAAAGGCAATATAGCCTGAACACTATGAAAAGTCAAATTACAAACATCAGTCTCAGCACAAAAGGACAATGGCAGAGGAGGGCTAAGGAAGTGGTCATTGAGATGCAACAGGGGCTGCATATTTTAGTTAGTGGGTTTAAAAATACAGAAGGAAGAAAGAGCAGGAAGTGATTGATTAGTATAAATTGCCATTGAAAGAAATACAGCAAGGGAAGAAAGAGCAGGAAGTGATTGATTAGTATAATATGCCACAGAAATGAGCAAATACCAACCTCTCGGGGCTGTAAAATACAGGGCACTAACCCAATCTGCCAGGAGCACCACTGACTGAGCAATTTTTGATACATTTCTTTCTGACTTGTTCAGAATGGTCATAGGAAGAGCAGGAGTGCACCCATGGTTTTGTTGCTGTGCCTTGTTCACCTGCACAAGCAAACCTGGGAATCAGAAAAGTGGTGAATGCTTGAAGAAAATACAAGATTTTTTTTGTTTACCTGTGCTCAATATTTACTTCAAAAACCTGTTGAAGAGTTGGAATTTAAAATAATGTTTATTTTAGTGATGCTGTTTAGAAGTTGTTCTGCATTTGAACATATCATTGCTATGAGAATTTGCAGTTCATCCTATTATGGGGTATTGTCTTATTTCAGGTTGATACAGCAAAATGTTTATTTCTGATATATGCTTACTTTATGTTTACATATGCACGGGTTGTGTAAGATATTCTTTTTTTCTGTCCCTCAATTAAATCAGCATTCTATCTTTGTCAGGAAGATGCTTAATTTATTCAAGAATCCTCTAAACTCTTTTTACGAACCTGACTTCTAACAGAATTTGCTAAACAAAGTAAATAGTAGCTAGGTTTATACAAAATGCTAAATTTAAGTATATTTGAAGTGCTTGACATCTTGCAGAGACTCCTCAGCACCATAAAAATAACATAAAGTATTGTGAACTGCCTTGGTTTGAGAACAAAAAGGAAGATAATTCCCAACAGTATGTTCCTTATACATGCAGATTTTATTAAGTAATTGCCAACCCTATCTTTTTTTCTGGTGGCTTCACTCTGATGTTTTCTATTTAACTGACATATATGTTAATCCTTCATTTTCAGTCATAGCTTGCATTCAGTGTGCCAGTCAAAAAATGGTTCTGGTCTTCCAGTCTCATGTTCTACCCCCACTGCCTGAACCATCATGTTGGATTATTTGAAAGGGACAAAAGAATGAGTTTGGATGTGTACTCACACCATGTATTCTTCAAAAAAAGGCTGCCTTTGCATTTAGGAGAGATGGATGGACCTGAAGGATGATAATGAAATGAACCTCAAGTGATAGATTAGACCAGTTGTTGCTAGGTAAATAAAAAACCCAGACTTCCACACTGGGTTTTCTATA